ATATATATATATAAATGTGTGTCTAGTCTATGGGGTGTTATGTTGTTGTGTGTGAGTGGTGGAACCATCTTAACTCAGTCTTTGTGTGTGATGGTTGGCTAGTTGCCGTCGTTGGAAGACGTGATCCGACTCAAGATCGACAAGGCATTTACCGACGCGATTGAACTGTCGAAGGAGATCGACACGTATCACGACGTGGCCGCGGCGGCGATGAAGTGCATCGTGCTCGGCATCGAAAACATCCTGGACGACGACTGGGCCACCATGCAACGAGTGAACTGGGGTACCGTCGAAACGGTGGGCGACGAGAGCGCGTACGTGCTGGCGATCGCCGACAAGCTGCGTCCGTACGTCCCGACGCTGCGCAGCATGCTCTCGAGTCTGTACTTTACCAACTTCTGCGACAAGTTTGCGGCGTCGGTCGTGCCCAAAGTACTCCAGAGCATCGTCAAGTGCAAGCGCGTCAACCACGTCGGCACCCAGCAGCTCCTCTTGGACGTGTATGCGCTCAAGACGCTATTTCTGAACCTCCCTGTGATGGGCAAGGAAGGCGAGGTACAGATTGTGCGCGATACTGTATCAAAAGCACATGAAATCGAACGATCATCGTGGACGGAGGAGTGCTTAGGTTGGTGCGACGACGGTACCTGCGCGGTACACCAAGTTTGTCAGCAACGAAATGGCGCACGTCGAAGCCGTGCTCAAGTTGATTGGCACGCCGAATGAAATGCTTGTCGACAGCTTCAAGATCATGTGGCCGGAAGGCACGGCCGAGAACTTTCAGAGCATTTTGAACATGAAAGGGTATAGGACGAATGATGATGAGAGTTGTATATATATGGCGAGGGAGTGATGGGGGGCTGGGGTTGGTAGACTGAAGCGGCAAGAACAGTTGGCGCTCCTGGAAGCGCTGGGCCTGCAGCAACGAAAGGCCCCTCCCGCCGCTGCAAAGCAAATGATCGAAGGCAAAATGACAGACATGACGGAAAGCTTGAAGTCCAATATGCAGAAAATGGCCAAGGCCAGCAACCCGTTCAACTACATCAACACGACCAACTAGATTGCTTAATCACGTTGATAAGTATCACAACCTACCGTGCAAAATATTTTCAGGCACAAATGGCAAAGAATATTAAATGCAAGTAGATAGAAATATATATATATATAGGTAAAATATGGAATTATACAAAAGCTAACTAGGGCCCAACGACGACTACAATTTTGCCTTGGACGTGGCCTTGTTCAAACAGGCGAAACGCGTCGGCGGCGTGGCCCAAGTCGAATTGGGCGGTGACGCGGGGACGGACGTGGCCTGCTTCGGCCAGCTCCTTGAGCGACTCGAGCAGGGCCTGCGACGGCTTGAGCATCCCCAGCACGAGTCGCTGGCTCACAAATGGCTTGAGAGCCAGGAAGCACGCCATTCGACCCATGAACGTCTCGGGCGGGCCACCAGCTGTCACGTACGTGCCATGCTGAGTCAGCACTTTGCAGTTGTCCCGCATGGTTCGACTCCCGGCGTAGTCGACGTGGACGTCGGCTTGGCCTTGGCATTTTTGGACAAAGTCCTGCGACTGGTAGTCCACGACATCGTCGGCGCCCAGTTGTCGCGCAGCTCCGGCGTTGGTCTGGCTGCACACGGCGGTCACGTGGGCCCCCAGGGCCTTGGCGATCTGGACGGCGAACGACCCGACGCCCCCCGATGCGCCGTTGATCACGACCTTGGACCCGGCCGTGACCCCTCCGTCGTCGCGCACCGTCTGCAGCGCCGTTTGACCCGCACAAGGCATCGTCGCCGCCTCTGCGAACGTCAAGTTCGTGGGCTTCAGCCACAACGTGTCGGACTCGGACATGCATACAAACTCGGCAAATGACCCGCGTCCCGTCGTAAAGTTCACTTGGCCGTACACTTCGTCGCCCACGTGGAACTTGGTCACAGCCGCACCAACGGCGTGCACCGTGCCGGCAAAATCCGACCCGATGACGGTGTCGGGAGCTGGCTTGAAGACGTGGCCAGTGGCTAGACGGACCATGAATGGGGTTCCGCCAAGGATGACCTGGTCGCCCTTGTTGACGGACGTGGCGGCCACTTTCACCAGCACGTCGTTGGCGGTGGGCACGGGAACAGGAATCTGCTTCATAGAAAGGGCGCTGGCGTCGCCGTACGTGCTGTACACGAGGGCGTGCATGGTCGTTGGAGTTGTCATATTGTGCCAAAGGCGAGGAAACTGTGGGAATGAGATTGGTGTCCAGGATGACTGTTGCTGAGTGTTGGTGATGTGGATGAAACGCATGGGTGTAAACAGTGGTACTGCAAGGAGTACTAGTACTGTCACGGTAGTCATCCTACACACTCGTCCAACATCAGTGGACATAGCGATCAGTTCACGTATCGGCGGTATCATCTTTGCCTGCTATATCAGTTCACGTCAGCAGGCTTCCTTTGTGATCGCAGGGGCCATCGGTCATCAGTACAGCTTTTGTGGTCATTATATTTAAGAGTGCACAGCACATCCCATTCTTGCTTGCTTGCGCAAAACTGGAGTTCTGTAAATAGGAGTTACGATGGAATATTCTGATTGGCTTATTTTTGGGCGCTACTACTCTGTCCAAGAAGAATTTCACCTTTGGTTCAAGGTCGTGTGAAAATATCAAATATTTATATGAATCTATGTACGATTCTATTGGTGCACATCGTTCACTCTCAGGCTACATTTCTAGACTTTTTAACTGAATATATATTCGATACACTGTACTATTAACAGTATCGTTCAAAACTATGGCCTCGCAAAATCCACGTTAACGTTAACAGTAAAACCGTACATTCATGTTGCTATTGACTTCGTGCTTACGATGACTGCAGCTGAGCATCCTACAGCTCGCATTGGCGGTGGAATTTCACTCTCAAGGGAAAGTAGAGCACTCAATGTGTGGAGCTGTATATCGTGAGCCCAAATACGAATTTAAATGGAGAAACTTGTGTCGCGTTAAATGAAGCATAGCTACCACTGGTCTCACTCGTCTCGCAACCTCGAACGGCGTATATGCGAACAAATATGTGGGGTGAGAACACCAGTTCATTTTCCTGCTAACGTTTTTTTTTGTACCTTAATTATATTGTCCCATCTGGTGAGACATGTACATACTTTAATCAAGTCAAAAGAGGGACTTTTGAGTCAAATGCAAATGTGACCTGTTGGACAGAGTAGTACACACTTTCCATTCTTCATTGTCCATTCTCCATTTTTAAGATTGAAACCCCCTAATGCTAAGAATATTATCTTAGTCGTCTTGAGTACCTGTACTGCACTGGCCGCTTAGAGAATGAGGAATTGCCCGAAGGATGGCGACATTGGGAATGCCAACTCCGATAGTGCAGACATTCAGCACAATCCTACATAGTGCACGCAATATCGAAGTATTTTTGTCCGGTGAGCTCAGTACACCGCGTGGCCTCCTTCGGACAGATATTTGTGCTTCTGCAGTATAATTCTGGGAGATGCTGAGCTCGTGCCAAGGACGAATCAATGACTCACGGGAGGCTCAAGGGTCTCAAAGTCCGTCGCCACCACTTCATCAAGTAAGTGTCGTGTTTGGCCAGAACTCACCAATACGCCCATTTCCTACATGTTGTCCATGTAGATTTGTGCCAAGTATGCGTTCAATGGCTGTCTTCATTGTTTCATGCAACGTATGCTCCCGTTACGACAGTTTCATTCCGAAACGGGTGACTCTTCAGGCAATTAAATTGTCATTCCCCTCGGTGTACCATTACCATGACGCCCCACCCACGGGTTGCTCCTCGGTGAAGTGTTTACAACGACATGGCGCATCCCGTCGACGCCGCGCCTGCCCAGCCGCATCACTTCTACCTTGAAGTATTCCTCGGGTATGGTTATGTGCTGTCGTCGCTCTGTTTGAGCTTTTATTATTTGCATTTATTGGCCCCGTATTTGGCCAATGACGCTCGCCTAACAAATTTCAATCAGTCGGGCGCGCAGTCGTTTCTTATCGACGCCATCAACCGCGAGCTCGAACATCCTCGCCTTGACGTATCTATCTGGAACATTACATCCACGTCCATCGCCAAAGACTACAGCACACCGAACACCCCGCTGCTCATCCCGGCAGGGTATGCACGGCGCGCGCTTTTGGACGACACCCGGATCGAAGCGGTCATCCGTCGGTCGCTGCAAGCGTCGGCGAATACGCTGTCGAGGCTCCCGACCCAGTACTGCTGGGTCGACTTTCGGTGGTGATGGGGCTTGGCCCATACACGTCGAAGGCAAGAACGCTGTGTGGAGCGAGACAGCGATAATGCTGCCGTATACCTCGAGTCGACCCTTCGATTGGCGAACTGGGACGGCTGGGTGGCGTTCCATGGCGGTGGGTTTGTACCCGCCATTGTGTCTGGAATGACTCCACGGGAGAATGGCCAGTTATGGCTTGGGCAGGTTGCCGCCACTATTGTCACTGACGCGGATATGGAAAGTGCGGTTTGGAGGCTACACAACCTGACACGGTATGTGTTGCAGTGGCAAAACTACCAGCAGGACGGCCTCGTCGAGTATGTGGCAGTGTCGAACGGGTACGTGTCGGTGGTGCTCGCTGGCCTCGCCCTCATCCTCGCAGTATACAGCGTCATGAACCGGTGGTCAGTTATCGGCCGTAACCTGTTGCGCTTCAACCGCGTCGCAGGGTGCGTGTGGATCGGTCGGCCGTTGCTTCTCGCGCGAGGCATATCAGCGATCCTGCTGCTGAGTCGAGACACGTTGGACCTTTAAGCGATCAGGGGAGTGGGCACGTTGTTCGTGTCCAAGAGGCGGCACTGGGTGGACTCGATGGTCGTGGTAGGAGAGTCCTCCTTGGCCGTGTTTGTCGTGCACGACCTCATGCTGCTGGGCTCCAGCCACGTGTACGCGTACGGGCCATTGGGCAACATGGTGGCTTGGGCGGTCTTGGTTTGCACGGATATCGTAGCTCCGTACAAGGTGTCGGCGGACATCTCGCTCGAGTGCGTCGCGACCGTCGAGGGCCAAGCGTGCACTGTGGGCACCATTCACCTGGGCAGCCAGGAACGGGCGTGGGCGGTTGTAGCCACGTTTGTCTCGTGCACTATAGCCAGTGTGTGCGTTGTGAACGTGTGGAACCGGCTTCGACAGAACCCCGTAGCGCCTCGGCCGACCGCGACGCTGCTGCTGCCGTCGTCGGTGGAAGCGTTTCTGGACGTCCCGCTGCAAATGAAAGCGTTCATCCAGACCATGGACACGATGACGTGTGTGTTGGCGGGGCTGTTTCCCCTGGCAAAGGAAGGCCACACGTTCCTCTTTGACGTCAAGTCGTGGCGGTTTGTGCCTTGTGAAATGATCGCGCACTTGATTCACGTTCACAGTCCGACGTTCACGCCCGTCAATGCAACGCACGCGGACCATACTTCTACCAACGCCATCAACAACGTTCATGCTGTTCCAGACGTAGTTGCACACGAACGCGGACCGACGACCAAGCAACGCCTCAGGACCTTTAAAGTCGGAGTAAGTGTCTTGTACATGATCGGCACGGTCGCAACCAGCATGACGTTTGTCCAGTACGCCAACGAAAGCACAGGGACAGTTGAAGTTTGATACCCACAATTTATGAACAGACACAATTGCAACGATTACAGGGGCTCGTCGAAGTGCAAGCCATTCGCAGCCACGATACCACTAAATGTTGAAGTGTCTTCAAAACCCACGAGGGAAATTCTGGCTACCAAGTGTACCACTGTTTACACGTTTACAACTGTGCGACAGTCCAGTTACTGTACCACTGTTTACACCCATGCGTTTCATCCAAATCACCAACACTCAGCAACAGTCATCCTGGACACCAATCTCATTCCCACAGTTTCCTCGCCTTTGGCACAATATGACAACTCCAACGACCATGCACGCCCTCGTGTACAGCACGTACGGCGACGCCAGCGCCCTTTCTATGAAGCAGATTCCTGTTCCCGTGCCCACCGC